AAGAATAAGAAAATTATTCAAATATGCACATTAAAAAGAAGAATTTTAAGAGTAGAAGTAGAAAAAGAAAAGTAAAAGAAAAATGGGAGAACTTTAAAAAGAAAAAATTAAAAAATTACAATTGAGGAAGGAAATTTTGACTTTTTCTATTAAGGAAATTTAAGAAATTTGAAGAGTAAAAGAGAAAATAAAGAAGAAATAAAGAGATAATTTTAGGAACCATAAAATTTAGGGGGGGGGGGGGGGAGGGCACTGTATAATTTTTTTCATATATATGGAAAAAATTACCACGTATATTATAGAGTGCGGGCCAACTCAGGGGGGCACGTGCCCCCAGGCCTTTATTGGCTCCGTCCCTGCTTGAAAGGAAGTTTAGTCCAAAAAGGAATCAAACAGAGCAAGAAATGAAAGTTTCCAAACTGTTTAGGATGCCTTGAATCGGTTCAAGAGTTTGGCTACCGGTTCAAGAAGGTCAAAAGGAATTCCGACGCACTTTATATACCGTTTCAGCCTTTGGCTACCGGTACCAAGAAGTTCCTACCAGTTCCCAATGGACATAAGTGAAATCCTTCATTTGGCTACCTGTACCAAATTTTGGTTACCCGTACCAAATGGATAGAATGCAAATTTTCTACCTGTACGAGATTTTGGCTACCAGTACCAACTAGACATAATGTAAATTTCCTAAATACTTCAAACTTCTAGAACTTCCTACCTGTTCTCACTCACTCGTATACCTTTCTAAAGTATTGTTCTCATCATCCTAGAGTATAGTAAACCATTAACACTTGAACTTCTTCAAATCTGCATCCGATATTCAACCTTGAAATTTTGAATCGAAATTTTACAACTCAATCGGACTTGTTTTGACAACGAAATTAGCCAATATACAAAATATATATTTTTCACAATCTCCCAAAAATATATATATCTCACACATTCATCCACTGAGTTGGCAGTGTGTATATGTATACGTTTATCCTTTGCTGCTTATCTTTATATGTATCATCTTTCATTTGAAAAAAGGCTTTACTGGTATGATTCAAACACATAAAGCGAGAGCGCGAAAATGGTAAAACTGAGTCACAAATAGTGGAAACGAGAAGTAGAGCGCACACGGAGAGTGAGAACGACACCCGTTAAGAAGAATTGTGTGACTTAGGGTTTAAATATCATTACTCTCTGAGGTTCAATTTTGGGAAAGCCCGTGGTTCCCTAGTTAGGTTGTTGGGTTTGGGCCATCATCTTGAAACGGCACAGATTTGGGAAGGTCCAAGCAATTAGCCCAGGGAACATATAGGCTTCTGGCCAAATTATTATGGGAAATTTCTGAATTGGATGAACACAACCTGCTAAATTCTCTCTAATTAGAATATTTTGTATTATTATTATTATTATTATTATTTATTTTTTAATCTTTTGTATTATTACTTGTTAACAGATCATAGGAATAATACCTTGTTACATCGCTAAGCTGAAAGAAAAAATTATTGGGCTTGGGCCGCCAGGTCTAAATATACTTACAACACTGACAGGGTCCGTAAATTGGCCCATCTTAAAAAAGTAAAAAGAGGAATTAAAAACATGCATTGCTTGGGAGAGGAGGAAGTTGTTGTCACTTATAAGGAAATGCCTTCTATTTGTGTATTGCGAAGCGGATCTTGACGCTTGATATCAGATCCAATCCCCAGCGGATTATTGGGGGAATGGGAAAAGCCCACGAGATTTAGGCCAATAAAGACGAGTCCACGAGAATTGGGCCAACATAGGCGTTAGGAAACCATAGAAGATTTTAACCTTATTGGGGAAACGGAAACAAGCACACAAGAATTAGGCCAATAAAGACGTTGGGAAACCGTAAAAAGATTTTAACTTTAAAATTGTGAGAGTCAAGGTAAACGAACAATATCTGGATGATTTATGAGTTGTGACAACTATTTTTTTTCCACAATACTTAGATTTACAACCACAATCAGGTTTCCATGATGGACATATGTGTCACATACCAGGTGTCTACTTGGTGGTTTTGGACATTTTAAGTTATTGTGGAAACTCTACAATTTTTTTATTATTATTATTTATTATTATTATTATTATTATTATTATTTATTTATCCGAAACTCTACAATTGACTAATAATCCCTCTTAGTAATGATATTAGAGCTAGCCCAAATGTAATTATTATGCATCTCATTGTTGCAACATGTTCCATGCGAGGAATAAATATTGAGTGCATCGATTTTCTTCGAACATTACGTGCACAGTACATGTTCGTGCAAAAGAAAGTGGTGTTGGTCCATCGATGTGCCTTAAAGCACACTGTCACAATCTCTATTTTCATGTCAGTTATGATCTTAATTTCTTACCAAACCATTCCATGGAAGAGAAATTGAAGCTTATCCTATCCAGAGTACCATTCTTCTCTTAATCAGGCTTCATTTAACCCCTTACAGTATGGTCACCTGAGTACCAAGTACCTTATGACATGATATGAAGAGGCTACATTTAATATTTGTCTTGTAATCAATTACTAAGAGTAGAATAGAAATATCTTCTAGAATTCATTCATGTTGTTCATCTAGCTTTTAAAGAATTTTTATTATTTTTTATTGGGTCTTGTGTATTTATTGAAACTAACACACACACACACATAAACAATGGTGTGTTCTCAGTTCTCCACACATTGAATTTAGGTGACCAATAAACCAAACCATTGAACAATGCTAATAGTTCACAGATTGGTATGAAGGGCATGTTTCCAATTTTACCCATCTCTGAAAATTGGCATTTACTTTTTGTAGCTTGTATACCTGCCCACACCACCCTCTTTTTCATCCATCAGACCCTCCATTTCACTCTCAAGAGGAAGTGTTGTTGGTTTCAATTCTCATCTATGTGCATGATGGAGATTAGCCTATAAGTTTAGATTTTTTTTTTTTTTTTTTAAATAACATTTGTTTTTCTATTTATATGTAAATTTAATAAATACAAGAAGACGTTAGTATAATTTTTACATTTTCTCTCTTGAATTTATATAATTGATATTATTCATGTGTACATATTAATATATATGTAAATGTTAATATTAACTAGTTGAGTCTATTTACAAAATAACTATCTTAAGCGAGTCTAAACAAAAATTTTGAAAAAAGTTAGGGGGCCATCCTTCCCCTAGTAAAATTACATTTATTACTCTTTAATAATATTCTTTGCTTACATATCGAAGTAATCAAATATAAGTATTAAAAGTGAGGGCAGTTTCGTATTTTCATAATTGACACGGTGGTATTAATGGTCCTAACTTTGGCTTCGTAGTCTGATGCTAACATCTAACTCATATATTGTAAGGGGGATTTGTTTCAAATCGGATTGGGATGGAAAAGTGAGCGGGTATATATGGCTTGGATGCTAGTATCCGACTGCAAAGCACCCAACTCATTACAGTTGGTATAAGAGTTAGGCCCATTCCTTAATCTAGTGTTATACCAAGCACCTGGTCCAGAGGAGTCTGGGTCAACATTCCAAATAGATAGGTGGCCCGATCGCAATCCATTTGAACGGAGAAATGAACGACTATACTTGAGTTAAATGTTAACCCTATATAATAATTTAAGCTTTTGAATCGGATCGCGAAATACTTATTCGTTACATTAGGCCTATTTAGAAAATATCTAACCCTATATAATAATTTAAGCTTTTGAATCGAATTGAGAAATACTTATCCGTTACATTAGGCCTATTTAGAAAATATCAAGCCATTGGTGGCCTAAAGAGAGAGTTTCATTAAACTTAGAGGTGTGAGGATAAATTACCTTAATTGTTTTTTAACCATTTATGAATTTTATAGTTGTTCCAAAGTACAATCCATAAATAAATTTCAGAGATTGCAGATATCCTGACCCTACAAATATTAATTTCTCTCAAGTGTTTACATTCATTCACACTGCAAGTTCTTTTTCACCCACCAAGCTGGTAGTTTGCACAAGGCAATATTTATCCTAGAGAGAGAAAAAGTAGGAGAGAGAGAGAGAGAGTGAGTCATAACTTGTTCAAACTGACAATTGGGAGACAGTGTTAAAAGGCATAGATGTTTTATAGTTTCAAGAGACTTGTCTTCTGCACTGTTTCATCTCTTTGTCTATTTATTTTGTATTCACATTTACTGTATGGAGTGGTCCACAAATTGTTAAGTTATATCAAACACTATAAAAATTCAAGGTCCACCATGCTTCATTTCCGATTAATATTAGTTTCTTTACACCATTGCTCAGACAATCTGACTAAATTAGAGAAAGAACCAAATAATATCTTCTAAGTTGCTTACTTTTTTATTTTATTTTATGGCTGTGATGCAAATAATTATATATAATTAACATTCGGAGGTCACTAGTCTTGGCGCAATGATAAAGTTATTCTATTGTGATTTCAAAGTCATAAGTTCAAAATAGATACGACACAATGATAAAATTGTTCTATTATGATCTAGAGTCTGTACAACACAGAAACGAAATACGGATTCAAAATTTTAAAAAATAAGACACAGGTATGGTTTGAACATAACTATATATAAGTATAAATTTTTATTTATATACATGTATTGAGTAACAATATTATAAAATTTTAATTCATTTCTAATTTTTGTACTAAGAGTTGTAATAACTTTATATTGTATGTATAGTTATTCTATTACTTTGTCATAATAGTATTTTTATTTTAAATGAACAAACATCATTTATTGTTTAACTTGTGATCATATTTGTATAATGTCAGTTTTTCATAAAGAAAATGTTAAAACACTTTAAAATGTGTTATATTATTTTCAAAATTATTGGGTAAATTTGTGTTATAAATATTCGAAAGTGTTGGCAAAGTATTTAAAATAATAAAAAATTATTTTTATTTATGAACATGTATCCGTTGAGTGTCCAACGAGTGTTGATATTCAACACAAGTACGACACTTCCGTAGAAGTGTCCACACTGCATAACTTAAAGGTTACAAGTTCAAAATAGGAACACCTTCTATCCCGTGTGAAAGAATCTGGTGCGGTGAACTAACCCTTTTTTATCTTTGAATAATTGGCAAGCCATATTGCAGAAATGGCTATACCCTCTTAAATTGATGCAACTTTTAAAGGTCTTTAGGGTGAATACTGAATAATATCCATACTTGCAAGATCAAGGATTCTTTATGGCGAGGTCTCCATCTCTCTCTAATTTATTATATAAAATAGGCAAAGGTTTATGTATTGCATTTAAGTAGTCCTATGTGACAGATTTCTTTAACACTATCTCAAATGGTGGTGATGTGAAACCCACACTTCACAGTCCCTTAAAAAAAAATAATAATAAAAAAATAAATAAAAAATAAAAAATTATACTAGGAAATTTTTTGCTTTTTAAAGTTAATCAAGTAATATAAAAAAAACCCATAAATATTCTTTCTCCTTTTTCTTTTTTCTCTTTCCATTGCCATTTGTTTGGCACTCTCTTTTTGGTTCCCACAAAGGGACAGCCTTTTTCGTTTACAGAAAAAAACAAATAAAAAATGAACATAAAATTTGAAATAAAATAAAATAAAACCACCCCCCAAATTTCCTTCATCATGCCTCCTTTTTCCTTGCTCCTCTCTCTTTTCTTTATCCTTGCCTAAACAAACTGTATCCACCAAACAAAGCCCATCTTTTTTCCTTTCCCCAACTCCCTTCCTTGTCAATAGGACCATATAGCTGCTAAGGAATCTAATATTTAACAGCTGGCCAGTGACTCTAGGTTGTTTCATGCCAAGAACATGTAACCTCTTGATTCCATGACCAAACTTATTCAACTCTTCTTTGCACCGCTTTTTTTTTTTCTGTTTTTTTTTTTTTTTTTTGGGAGGCATCTTCAAAACCACACCAGAGAAGTAAATCAAAGTGATTGGATTTGGGTGAAAAGTTCACCTCAAGTCCCATAAAAGCTCCTCCACTTCTTCACAGGGTCTGTTTGGCTTCCTCCTTTTAGGGTCTGGGCTATTATGAGAAGAATTTGCACATGAACCAACTGTTGTATCTTCAGTTTTATAGCTCAAGCATGCAGCATCCAGGACACCAATTGGACTATGGGGCACAGATGGGACTGCAACACTTGGGCCCTTGAAAGCCCCACTTGACAATAATGATGACTCATGGATCAGTTCAACACACTTCACCACTCTCTCCTGCAAAAACCAAATACATAAATAAAATAAAATAAACAGAAAACTTAGGTTTATCAACTGATGAGATTGTAGCTACTCAAACACAAAATGATAAGAGAAAAAAGTTAAAAAGAAAAAATATATATTATCATCAATTGTGTTTCCCTCTCTTTTGGTCTTTGGACCACTAACTTTACCTTTTTTACATGTTGTATGAGAACAGAAATTGCTTTCTCAGTGTCCACTGTTTGAGTTTCTCCAGCCACAGACATTGCCACTGCTGCTGCAACCTCAGAAGGCTTGAATTCCAAGAAGTCAATCCCTGCATTCAATTCCCACCCACCACAACATTAATCCCACTTTCAATTCTCTCTTCCTTCATTTTTACCACTACAGAGTAATCAAGACAGTAAACAGTACATGTATAAATGCAAACAACTATTACATACATATATATATATATATATATCTACACATATAAAATTTTATTTGAGGAATGAAATTCAGGCCTATTTGTATGGCCAAAGAATGTAACCGATGGAGTTTTTACCACTTGATGAAGTGGATCCACTATTATACAAATAAGTTAGAGAAATCGGTCAAAAAAATTTGTTATGTTTTGCTTTGAAAATTCAAAAAAGGCGCACACATTCTCACAATATTGCACATTGCAGAGCTCGAACATTCATTGAACCTGTCTGGGCTAATAATGCCCGTTGGTAAATATAACATATTAGAGCAATGCCATCAATGGCGGAATCAAATTTTTGGCAACTCCAATAAGCAGTGTCTAACAAGGACTCTTACACAATAATCAACATGATAAACTCTCTCTTTGACACCTCAGTCGGTTTTAAAAATGGATCGACACTTTTTGCCATTTTCCTACATATTATATACATACAAACAAAGAAAGAGAGGAAAAGAAGTGGACCTTTTATTGTGTTTAAAATGAGTTGGGTTGACCAAGAGATTGCAGATCTTGGAGGGGTTTGATCACCATTGATCTTGCTAAGGAAGTAGTCTATGAAGGAGAATGGAGTGATTGCTTGCATTCTCCAATTCAATGTGCTCAAAACCAGAAGCTCCATTCTCTGAATGGTTCTAGCTTCAAACACAAATCTTGCTTCACCCACCTGACAAAACTTAATTTTATCAGGACAAGTGGTTTCAAATCAATGAACAAAAGATAGCTACTTCACATACACTAAAATTTGTCTTTTTTTGTACCTGTAAATCTAGACATAAAGGGACTTCAGTCTCCTCCATTTTGGCTGCTAGAGATAAACAGGCTACAGCCAACAACTGCATCATCCAAGCTTTACCCTTCTGTGTGTATATATATATATAGATAATAATACAAGAGTAAATGCAATCAGCAATGTGATTTGAATCATTTGATGCACATGAAAATATAGAAGAAATCTGAAATTGACATGAAATGAGATTTTTAGGGTTTGATTATGAACTTACTGGTAATTCATAGACAGAAAGGAATCTGTCCAGGTAGTTCATGGATAAATATGCACATAGAGGTCCAAAACTGAAATGGGCATGAACCTGTTAGACCAACAACCCCATTCCCATTAACCAATTGAAGACAACATAAAAAGTATTTCACTGAAGTCCAAAAACATTAAAAAAATAAATAAAATGAAAAAAAAGGTAATCATTTTACTGGTCAAAGTTAGGTTAATCATGAATAAAAACAAAACAAGGAGAATGCATATCCAATTTCATACAGCTAAGCAAAACACACACACACACACACACAACAATTTACCAAATTTCAGTTTATGTGTGAACATAATAAAAGAACCCAACACATTTCATCAAACACTATGAATGATAAATGTGAAAAGGAGATGGAACATCATCAAAACTACCCAAAAGACAGAAAGAGAAGCCAATACCATTTCCAAAACACCCAAAAAACCCAACTCCTTGAAATCATCAAAATATAAGTAAAATATGTATAATGAGGAAAAGAAACACAATACCCATTTAAGAGAACTCAATGATTAAAGAAACTTATTAAACCAAGATTTATGAACCAAACTTGCCAATCCAGAAAGAGAAGCCAAAACCATTTCCAAAAACCCAACTCATTAATTCATCAAAAAATAAGAAAAATAATTATAATGAGGGATAAAAAAAAACACAAAACCCATTTCAGAGAACTCATGATTAAAGAAACCCAATAAACAAATATTGTTGAACCAACCTTGAAAATCCAATCCACAACCTCCATTCTGGCCCCCAAATCCAAGTCCCCATTCCTCAACCTGTTCAAGTAATCACCACTAGGCAAATGCTCACACTCCCTTCTGACCATTAAAGCCAAACACTCATCAGTCTGAACCGGTAACCCATTCAAGGACTCTCCACCATCAAAGCCCTGGTTTTGATTACTCATTCGGTGATTTCTATGATTCCAAGTGGGTTCAAAGTCCTCCCCCAGAGACCCATTAGCAACATCATCATCGTCAAAAATGCTGCTGTTGTCTTCTGCACAGAGAAGGCTTAATACCGCACAATCAAAACTGGGTGCCATTTCAACACCTCAAAACTCTCTCTCTCTCTCTCTAAATTCGTGTGCTTCTCTCTCTGTGTTTTAATAATACATATCATAAAATGGAAAAAGAGAACATGGTTTTCATTCAACTGATTGTTTTAGATAATAAATAGATGAAAAATCAACGATTTCTGTGTTCAAAGATTGAATTGAGAAACAAAGAGTGAAAAGGAAATAAGACAAATAACAAATGAACCAGTCTCTCCCTCTCTCTCTATCTCTCTAAGTTGGATTGAAAAGACTGCTGCAAGAGAGCGGCTTGTGATGTGGGAAATGGGTGTCCCTTTTATTGGTTTTAGGGTACAGACAGAGGAGAGAGGAGAGAGGAGAGAGGAGAGAGACAAGAAGAAAATAATGAGGTCAAAAAATAGAGAAATCCATAAATAGATTCTTAGGACACGTGTCCTAACTACAGTGGATGATACAGTGAATACTTGGAATAGTGTAGTATTTTCTTTTTAATAATTAAGCAATACATGTACAGTATTACAGATTAATTCGATGTTTTAATGTAGGTGATAAAAAAATTCTATAAAAATAAATTTCAAATTTATTTATTACTATGTTTCATATTTTCCTTATTTCAAATGGGTCATTACTTCGTGTTTTGTGGAAAATAGGATAAATGTATCTAGATAAAAGTATTCAATAAATAAATTTGGACAGTTCATATATTAAGACCAATCTAAATAAATTATGCTAAAACTTTTATAGAATTAGTACGAAATTATGAAACTAAAACTTTATTATCTAATCGAATTTATATACTCTGTAAAATAGGTGTCATAGTAGTAGCATTCGTGATTACACATAGAACTCCTATTTCTTAAATACTTTTATTTGTTTTTTCTTTTTTCTTTTTTCATGCCTAATTTTCTTTTTAAATTTGTAAAAATAGAAAATAGAAGATAGAAAAAGAAATTTAATTCCCAAAAGGAAAATAGAATCTGTCTTTTTGGTGTAGTGGCCAAACGCGGTCTCTAATTTTTGTCAAAAATATGACTGAAACAGCCGTTTCGAATTTAGTACTCTATTATGACTAGCACTTTTTGAGTCTTTGAAAACAAATTATCTCCTTAATACACGCTTTCATCGGTTTTAAATATATATAAAACTATACACACATATATAAGTCTATTAGCAATAGAATAAGATTCTCTCCCGTTTATATTTGGATCCAGCAAGTACTTTTCAGTGTATTTGAATCGATAATGGAATATCTACTCAAGAATATTAAATTGATAATGTAATAACATCAAATGAGAATGCATCATAGATGTAAATGTGTGGAATTCTCAATTGATCCGTATTAAATTGCTCAATCAACTAAGAACAATCATATACCATATTTATAGAATCAAGAAAGAGTTTCAGGTCAGACTTGATAAGTTTTTGAGTGTGAATCAAAATTAAGGCGTAGGGTCCACTCGTGAGTCGTTAGCTCGCGTTGACTACGTCCTTACCTTTTGTTTACATCTTGTGAGGATACGGGCTTGTCAAGGCCGAGTTGGTCGTTCCTATTGATTGAATAGTCTAATGAAGTGTTCGGATCGCCGCGCCCTCTGTATACACCTCGTGACGATACGGGCCTGTCAAGGCCGAGTTGGTTGCTCCTACTGATTTAATAGTCTGATGAAGTGTTCGGATCGTGACAATGTGAGCGATTCATTACCGGCAACGTAATTAATTACATAGGTGTTACATTATCTTAGATTATTTGTATAACAATTTTACATTGCTAATTTGTGAGAGGTGTATTACGTTGCGTAACTAATATATTATGTTCGATAAATAACACACGAGGTCATCCTTTACATCGCTTATATAATTATCTTAGATTATTTGTGCATCAACATTGCATCGTTGATTCCTAAGAGGCATATTATATCGCATAACCAATGTATTATGTTGGATAAATAATACACGATACAAGTACAGAATTCCAACACACAAGATCATTCCTTACATCGCATATAATTATCTTACATAATTTGTACAATAATTTATATTGGTGATTCGTAAGAGGTGTATTATATTGTATAATCAATGTATTATGTTGGATAAATAACACACGACACAAATACAGAATCCAAACACAGGATGTCATCCTTGTGTGCATTGCTGTATGTTCTCTTAAATGAAAAGAAATCCTAATTAGTCCCCCAAGTGAATAATGTAAAAGACCATATGTGTTTTATTAGATGTCGTGTAACAATATGCAAGTCTATTATGACCAAAAAAAGCTATAGATTTTAATGATGAGAAATGAAGAAAATCTATCCACAATTGTCAGCCAAAGTTTTCTATATATGTGATAAAAATTAAAGGCTTGTCTTTATGCAAATATTGCTGACCAAAGAATCACATAAAGTGATGTCCTTTTGCTTTCTTTTTTTCACTTTTGGGCGCGTCTCCTTTGGATTATGTAAAATCCATATTGCATTTTCAGGGACCCCCGCCATTCAGCAGTCAATGAAGGAAAACAAATAATTAGGAACAAGTTGGGAACTAAACATTTTTACTCATGAAATGTGTCCCCTCTGTCTCTCTCTCTCTCTCTCTCTATATATATATATATATAAATGTATGTATATATTAATATGATCTCTGTAACGTATTGAAGAATTATTTTTTTTTTTTAAAAATAATTTTGTTGTATTAATATCCAATATCACCGGAAAAATGTTTAATGCACGGAAGAACTTTAAGATGTGACATATAAAAGTATTAGGGTTTACACCAACAGGCTAATAGTCTAGCGTTAGCAGATCCTTATTTCTCAAAAAAAGATCAACGGTTCAACCTTTCATGAAGACATGTGTACGTGAGTATTAACTGAAAAAAAATGAATTAAGGTTTACATTTTAACATTCCTTGTATTAGGGATGGTTGATGAAATCATCTCTAAATTCTAATATTAGTATAGAATTTAATTTATTTATGTTTTTCTATGATTTTCATTTTTTCTTGTGCTTATCCTTGTTATTGGGCAAAACTCTATAAAGTTTATTAAACATGTGTGACACATTAAAACAATCAAATCAGCTTAAAAAAAAAATACTATACCGAGTCCTTTATCTTTTTTCTCGATCTTTTCAATTGTGGCCTTATAATGCAATCACATTCTCTAATAACTTTATAATTTGATTCGTAAAAATTCTAATTGTTAGAGACGTGACATTAATAAAATTATATATATTTAAGAATCATTTGTAGACCCTACTAATATCGAATAAAAAAATGAAATTGTTCGTCAACCTTTTTTACTAGTTTGTTAGTGAAAATATGAAGGTACTTTCATAAGATCCATTTTTCTTTTATGTGTCACATTTGACCATATAATGTCATTCCCTATGGTTATAATTAGTGATCAACGGTAATATATATATATATATATATATATATATATATGTGGATTGAAATGGACCACAATTAAGCATGAGTAACTATGGTTTTTAATTAACTTAGGATGCTTTGTTCTAATTCAGACGTGCCTAAAAACAAAACCCTAAAGAGACTTTTTTGGACACAAATTTCTAACCCTTTTTCATCAAATTCCTTGAAAATTATCTTTTTTTTTTGGCCTCTCTTTGGAATGAACTCACCTTTTCATACATAGTGTCTCTCTCTCTCTTTGCAGTTTGATCACACACTCAAATATCCTCTTTGGACCAAAATATGAGCCCCATATGGATCATGTCAGGTGGGTGTTTGCTATTTTCAATGAATTCCTTCATTTTTCATTCTTGTGTGTGTGTGTGTGTGTGTGAGAGAGAGAGAGAGAGAGAGGCATGAGTGAGTGAGGCCCCTCAAACTTTTTAAAGTCTGGTCTAAAGGGAGAGTCTTATTACAGTGGTTTGAGATCCGAGCTCTCCAGAGTGTCATTGACACCCACTACATATTTTTTAGGCTCAATTCTTTTGTTTGTGTTATCTTCTTACTGTGCTCCAAGTCCAATGTTAGGTCAGATGTTAGCCAGATGACCATCTGTGTCTCTCTAACAGTATATATATATATATATATACACATATATACATATTATTTATTTTCCGAAATTTCATAGTTCGAGTTTTCGTAGGATCACTGGAGGCTTACCTGGTCGTTAATTTCAGGACTTTGTGAAATTAGTCGAGGTACGCGCAAATTAGTCCGAACACCCACAATTATCAAAATATATATATATGTGTGTGTGTATTTTCATACATATATACATAAAATGAGTGTAAGAAATGAAAATGTTGGTGAATGTGCCCTAATTAATACTAGAAAGGATAAAATTATAATTCATTACATTCGGGGGAGATGATTAGAGTAGCACAAATTAGAAATAAAATGAATTTTTTTCCCCATTAAGATAGTTTGAATATGTGAAAATAGACACGCACCGAAAAAAGTGAGTTGGGTTAGAAAAAGTGCCAAAGTTTACATTCAGATAAAAATAAGAAAAGAGAAAGACCAAAATTAGACTTAATAAAAAAAATTATGATAGCTGACTATTGACCTTAAATAAAGCATAACGGAAATATATAATTTGTGTAGTTGATCGCCACGCCGTTGATAAAAATGCTTGGCTGTGGATAACACACACACACACACCAAGTTAATAGAGAATAATGATATTTTTTTTTTTTTGTTTTTTTACCAGGAGGAAGAAACTTTCTACAGGCCAAATATGAAGATCGTTATATATGATTTAAGTGTTAAAAAAGTAATTATCAAAAAATATAATAATTATACCCAATTGTCACCAAACTTGATGCGGATAAATTTATGAGAATTTGCAAAATTTATAAAATCCTCATTTCAGGATACAAAAAATTTGACATTCAATATAAGTATATTGTAGAAGTGTGATAGTTTTGCCTGAGTGATAAAAGGGTCTGGTCTAAAGCATCTCCCACCCTATTGGTCTTAAGTTCGATTCATTCCTCCTCCAACCAACTACTAATCATTGCCACGATATATAAAAAAATAAAAAAGGTTAAATTATAAGATAGTAGGACAGAAACTCTATTATCATCAAGCAATTTTAACAAGTTTAATTAAAAAAAAAAAATTAAGTCGGTGTAGGTAGTGAAGACGGGCAATTGCCTTAAAAAAGTAGGTTAGAAAAAGTGCCAAAGTTTACGTTGAGATACTAATAGGGAAAAAGTTTACGTTGAGATACTAATAGAGAAAAAGAAAGACCAAAATTAGACTTAATAAAAAAATTTATGATATATGAATTAACTGAGACTATTGACCTTAAATAGAGCACAGAAATATATAATTTACGTGGCTGATCTCAGGCGGTGATAAAAATGCTTGGCTGTGGATAACACACACACACCAA